AAACATGCGATGACAAAAGTGAAAACCAGCGAAGAAATGGCTAGAGTTGCCAAGTTCCCCTTTAATGTTTAAAGTAAAAAATAACACATTCTTCCTCTTACAAATGAAAATATGAATTTGTAAGCAATAAAAGGCACCACTGCTCAAGTCAGTACACCCAGAGGTTTTCACTGCTACCGCCGCAGTTGGTCTAGTATGACCAGTAGATATTGCCTTGTAATGAACAACACTGAGTCTGACCTTGTGACTTACACTGCCTGAACATTCACCACCATGATCATGGCACGTGGGGTCACAATGGCTGCTGTTCAGCAAAAGGTGAAGGCTCACTTTAAGGGGTATGTGTCAGATTTTCAGGTTTATATAATAAGAGAAAAAAAATGAGCCTATGCAACTTTTATGTAACAGTTGACACTGTGACCAGAGTGACAATTATGGGATGATGGAGACATAGTGTAGCAGTGGCAGTAAAGTTATGGATCTGATTCAGTAAGTTGTGAACATTAGCTAACATTAGCACCATAAGCTAACTATCAAACCAGACTAAGAAAGGCTGTAGCATCAGAGTGTATTAAATTTAGCAAGGGTGAGTAGCTTATAATTATAATTTTTCATTTGCACAAGGAAGAATGTGCATTAGTTCTTTTACAAGTTGTAGTGTCTGACTTTAACAGTAGCCTGTCACCCATCTGCCACAGTAACACCTGAAAAGAAAGTCAAAATAAGAATTGCCTTTTAAAATGTTTAATTTAATTAATGCTTGGATTAAAAGTTGTATATTTTGTATAAATGATGCTGTTTTGTTACATTCTGGTGATACATTTTGTGTCACAGTTGGCTGGTAAAAACCTGTCAAACTGCGGCTGCCCTGTTGACTGGTCCTTTGAAAACAGCTGCACTTGCCTCATGTACCGCAAACAACATACACACATACACACACATACACATGAGTACAAGATGAGCAGAGCAGAGACAAACCTCTGCTGGCTGTATGCGAGTGCTGATCCTGCTCTTATACAGCAAACTAAGCTCTCTCTGCTTAATGCCCAACAGAAAAGCTCTTTAGCTGTCATTACGCACCCGCCTCGCCCTGCAGC